GTAAAAGAAAAGGAAAAGAATAAAAAAGGGAGTTCCGCAACATACAGAGGCATTATGAAGAAGCTTAGGCATTATTAAGAAGTTAAAATTTATGTGTGAGTTGATTGAAAAATGTACAAATTGATATGTGGGTTGTGAGAGAATGATTAAGCCATGCGGAGTAAACATGAATCATTAGGGTCTCGTTCGCTTAGCGAATTTGAGTTTTTAATTCGAGCTGAAATGTGATATTTTCTGAAAGTTTTTAACTGTAGCAGAAAATGTGAGATGTAACATTTTCTGAGAGCTTTTTAATTATAGAAACTCAGAATTAAAAACTCAAATCGGTGAAATGAACGAGGCACATAAATTAAGTGAAAAGAGAGTAGATTTGAACCATTGGATTTGTTCAATCCATGGTTGAAGTAAAAAACTATTCCCACTTGCATATAAGTTATAGATATAGCTTAGATTATAGATATAGATTATAGATAGATAATGCATTTGACACTCAAAATAGGAGGCACAACACAATAAAACCTTAATAATTAGAAAGGTCCAACGTAAAGTAGACGGTTGTGTAGGCCAGTTGGTCGCATGGCTAAACATCACAATTACATTCATATATATATATATAAAGTTCATATTAAGCGACAAAAAGAGCACGTGGGTAGCATTCAGCCACTTCTATTGTAACGACAAGAAAGGAACAAATCCCAAAATCAGAACCATTATTCATTCATATAGATCCACATTCACAAAGATGCTTGGTAAAGACTCCGGTATTAGTCCAAATAAGTAGGGGAAAAAAGAAAAAAAGCAACTTTGAGTGCTCAATTAAACTACTCTTTTTTTTTTTTATCTTCTTTAAAAACAAAAAAAACAAAAAAATTCATAGCACTTTAATACGAAAAAAAAAAGAGATACCTTAATATTTAAGTCAGGTTGTAATATATTTGCATGTTATTTATTATGTCACTATTTTAACCAATTATACACTCAAAACGTATAATACCAGCCCTTTCATCAAAAAAAAAAAAAAAGAAGAAGAAGAAGAAGGAACGTATAATACCAATATAATGAAAATAAAGGTACAGCATCTAGGGGCAGAGTAAATAGATGGAGAAATCTTTGGTAGAGATACGTAAAAAAAATAAAAAAAAAATACCCAATAAGTTCTGTACATTCTAGACCATATTATATCTTCATTAGGTTTTCTATTGAATTTGTATTTTTTTTCCATTCAAATATCATTTTAATGTAATTCGATGTTAAAAAATGTACCATATTAGTTCAAATATTCAAGTGAAACCTTTACCAACACTACAAGAAAAGGCACTTTTACTACTCCATAGTGAATTTATTTTGCATCAGCCACCACCAAGAAGCAATTAAGCAAAAAAAAAAAAAAAAAAAAAAAATCATTAAGGCCAAAGTTCAATGGAAAAATAATATCACAGTATCTTTCCTACTTTATATACAATTCAGTTAATTTGAAATAAATGAGGAATGCTTTCAAGTAAAACCCACTTATATATATATATATATATAATAAAATATAGTATTTAAATATATATTTACATATATTCCTCGTTTTTCATATGCATACATAATATTTGGTTTTATATGGTGATGATATAGATATAGCCTATGATCTGCAGTCCCATCTTCAGTGGTCCATCTTTTACCCTGATTCAATGTATCATGATAGAAAATACAATTCAATGCAAGTTATAATATTGAATATTGATATTGAATCATTCCTTGTTGCCAAAATCGCTAAATCCATTTACTGCAAACTTGTACATATAATTGGGATAAGAACTCGTTACAACCGCTACTTTATTTTTTTCTTTTTTTTTTTCCTGAACAAAGGGAGCTACAATCGTTTGGGCCCATAAAAAAAAAGTGAGGTACTATAATTATGATATCTAGATGACATTTCATGGACAGAAACCAATTTGAGCAGAATTATGTTGTCTCAACTGTTTGTTCGTTTTTCTTCTTAGCAAAATGAGGGAAAAAAAAATGAAAAACCATGTTTGTTTGCTTTGATCCAATGCCAAAATAAGATATGTGGTCTAAAGCATTTCACTGCACATAATGATTTAAAAAAAATGCACCATAATTGGACTAAGCAATTATCGAAGGTTTAGCAATTTTTATTTTTATTATTATTTTGTAATAATGAAGAATGACATGCTTTCGGATTTTGAATATGTGTGAAAATGAACTTTAATAATGGCATTTAAAAAAATAATCAATCCATGATTGATTGATTGGCTTGATGGTTATTGACCGATATGAATTAGTGTTAAACTAATGTTATTTAGAGCCCGTTTGTTTGTTTTATAGGAAGTTTCTCTAGTGTTTTTTATTTTTAAATATCAGTGTTTTTTGGTATTTTTAATCGTTAAATTTGATTAAAATCACATCAGATTGAAAAAGTAATCATAACAGATAAATTTTAATACAAATTTAACGGATAAAAAGTAAAAAATATCGGTGTTTTCAAAAAGGAGGAAACACAGAGAAAGTCTCTTTTTTCATATATTTAAACTCAAATCATTGATTCTGCTGTAGTGGTTTTTCTCATAAAAAAATTGAAACAACATTTTTCTCACAAAAAATTAAATTTCAAATGTCAGAATAAAAAAATCATGGTTTGAGTATACATTAGTGAGGTTTTAAAGTATTGTCACGTCAATTAATAAAAAAGTTTACATATACTAATAAAAAAATAACAACTCACATGTCACATTAATTAGTATACAAGAATTGAGATTATAGTTATTGTCACGTATAAAGTATTTTACAAATATCGAGACTCAGGGATGCGTTTTGAGACTAATGTTTGGATCAGGGTGATGCTGCTTTTATATTTGTTACAAATTATATTTTGATTGCTTGAACTTTTTAAAAATTAAATTTTTAGTAGCTTTTAAAAATTATCTTATGACCCCTCAACATTTTAAAAACTATGTTTTGATCCTTAAGTTTTTATAAATTATATTTTGATCTCTTAAATTTTAAAATTGTTTTGATCCCTAACTTTTTTAAAATTATAATTTGAGCCCCCAAGTTTTTCAAAATTATAATCAACTCCTAAACTTTTTAAAACTATTTTTTGACCCCAAATTTCTTTTTTTTAATAAAAAATTGCAATGTGACCTATTATTTAATTTTTTTTTTTTTTTGCAAAAAAAAAACCCCTTTGAATAATTCTACCTTTTCCCTAGGCCCCTCCAATGTTTGGTTTGGATCGAGACTAGAGACCAGATGGATTTGGATTAGGCCTAAATTTTATCTTTTTTACAAATTAATAAGATAAAAATCCCTTTAAATAATAGGAAATTTTTAAAAATATCCCTTGAAATGGATCCCATTTTATTTCTACCCGTTAACACTAGCACATATGTTTCTACCTTTTAAATTAGAACTAGTCAAGGGATAGAGTTTTTTAAAGAGGTACTTTTAGTAAGTTGAGTACTTAAGAAAATATAATATGTAATTTTCTCTTGAATAATTCTATCTTTTCCTTTGCCCCATCTAATGTTTGGTTCGGATCAAGACTAGAGTCCATATGGGTTTAGATTAAGCATTTTATCTTATTACAAACTAATTATTAATACACAAATAGAATACGGTGGTAAGCATAGTATAATGTAATTTAATTATTAAATACGATGCAAATCAAACGATGTATTATATAAAAATTATACAATATAAAACTATTCGGTACAATACAATAAATATGGTGAACCTGACATTATAAATAGAAATGATCAAAGCTAGCAGCAGAAGTCACTGCATTTACTCATTTCATATTTCAACGAGTTGTGCAAAATAATAGGTAATAATTAGGTATGGTACTTCTCCTCCTCATATTTGGCTTTGGATTATTTAAGTATTGAGCATTAGAGGCGTTGGACAGGAAAATAACAAGGAAAAATAAATAAATCAAAGTGAAGAAAATTGATTAAACATGGTTGCTACTCAAAATGCTCTTTGAAAATCATGGAGATTCTGAAGGAAGACACTTTTTGATCAGTTTTATCATCTACGTTTCATGATATAACAGTCAAGTACTTAACAAAGTGGAAGCTGCCTAAAAGATGGCTGAGAAGCTCCTTCTCCAACTAAAGACGAGTTAATGGAGAGGACTAAGGTTAAGACTCAGATTTGTAGGGTGCGTTTGGAACTCGTTTCAAAATGATTTTATTTTATTGTATGAAAATGAAAATGAAAACGTTTTTAATTTCAAACATAAATTATTTTTGAAAATGCGTTTGGTAGTTTTATCAAGAGATTATTTTCAGTATAAAAAAACTCATTAATGTCTCTCTCTCTTTTTCTCTGCTCGAGAGAGGAGAAAACTAAAACAAAAAATGAAAAACGACTAAAAGTCATTTTTCATTTCTCTCTCATTTTACACTAAACCAAAATGATAAAATAGAAGGGCACGTTTGGAACTTGTTCCAAAATGATTTTATTTTTTGTATGAAAATGAAAATGAAAACTTTTTCAATCTCAGACAGAAATTATTTTTAAAATTGCGTTTAGTTGTTTTATTAAGAGAATGTTTTTAGTGTAAGAAAAACCATTAATGTCTCTCTTTCTCTCTCTCTGCTCGAGAGAGGAGAAAGCGAAAATAAAAAATGAAAAATGACTAAAAGTTATTTTTCATTTATCTCTTATTTTACACTAAACCAAAAAATCGTTTTCATTTTCATTTTTTATCTTTATTGCGTCAAACGCAGTTTTAAAAACGTTTTCTTTTTTTTTTCTCAAAAAACGTGAAAAATAAAAACGAGATCAATTTCAAAAACGGCCAAGAGATTAGTAATAGCTTTACAAAATACATTCTTATAGCCTAGCTAAGCCATTTCAAAACAGATGCACAAGCACATAAGTGGTCTAAATTTTAGAATATGTCTTTACTTCCTCATAATGACAAAGAAAAATCTACATGAGATTAAACAATATTACTTTTCATAACAATTATTATTTTTTTTCGGCTAGGAAAATTACTTAGCATTATTACACATATAAAATATTGTATAGTTTACATTTATCTATATATATAGAAAACAAACCACTAGCTAAGGATTATTGGGTTTTCAACCCATTAATATAAGAAATCACCCAATGCTAGAATTTATACCAATATCATAGTACGGAGTGTAATGATTTGGAGGCCAGGAAAGTGAAGAAGGTGAGTTTGGACTTGGAGGTGAGCGATAAGACGAACAAGAGGAATGCGACGACGTATTGCTTGAAGGATTCAGAATCATCAATGGTACTACGTCTTGAAGTAGCCCTTGTGGGCCTCTTTCTTCTTGGGCCTGCTCCTCAAGACCGTAGCCCATGAAATCACTGCTTGAGTCCTGGCCCGTTGGATCAACCATTTGTGGGCTTTCTTGGGTTTCTTGTGTTTGTTGGGCTTCGGATTCCGTGATGTTCTTCTTGGGCTTTTTGATTGGTAGATTAGCATCTTGGGTCTGGCCCAAAATGAAAAATGGGTAAGTGAAGTGTAGGTGGAGCCCTTCATACGTAATGATGAGTGTGTCTGGGTCATCGCTGGACCTCTCCACTTGCTTCTTTGCACTGCACCTTGGGTTTGTGCACCTGTAGTAGCTCCTAATTTTCCATCAAAATTAGAAAAAAAAAGAAATAAAAGTTAATGGTGTATTATGGGTGCGTTTAAAACTCATTCTAAAATAATTTTATTTTTTATATGAAAATGAAAATGAAAACGTTTTCAATCTCAGACAGAAATCATTTTTGAAAATGCGTTTAATAGTTTTATCAAGAGATTATTTTCAGTATAAAAAAACCCAATAATGTCTCTCTTTCTCTCTCTGTTCGAGAGAAAAAAAAATGAAAACAAAAAATGAAAAATGACTAAAAGTCATTTTTCATTTCTCTCTCATTTTACACTAAACTAAAAAATCATTTTCATGTTCATTTTTTGTCTTTATTGCGCCAAACGTCGTTTTGAAAACGTTTTCATTTTTTCTTTCTCGAAAAATGTGAAAAATAAAAACGGGATCAATTCCAAACACGGCATATACTTTTTATTTTTTGGCTTGGAAATACTTGAATAAAATTGGCTTAAAAAAAAGTATCCATTGTCTAGGGTGATAAATGAACTTTTTTAGTCAAATAATAGATGTTATATTATTTTATGGCTTGGTGTAATTAGATCAAACGTCACCTCGTCAATCACATCAAAGATCTTCCATTAATTCATTATTTTATGACAATGTTTAATTTAATATTACTGATAATATCTTTTTTGCTTAGTTCTAATTATCTTACTACTTTGTAGGTAGGTAACTAGGAAGGGAATTAAGAATATTTTTAAAAAGAGTAATATTTAATATGGTTGAGATAGTTAATTTGGTGGTTGAGGGAAGTAGCATTAGGAATACTAAACCTTTTTTTCCTCTTCTTTAATTCAACGTTGATTGGTTTAGGTCTCTAATAAGCACTTGATTATGACACCGTTTTAAACAAATAGTTTTCACCAGAAACACGTGTGGCCCCCCCATCCATTTTACACAAAATATATTGCTCTTAAGAGAATCTGAATTCACAGAGTCAAATATTAAAAAAAAAAGTGTATTTCATTATCAACCAAACAAAAAAAAAATAAAAAATTCAATTTCGGAAAGCATTAAAGATACTTCTCTGCAATTGATGTGGGACTATTGCAACCCATCTTAGGTATCTCTACAATTTTCTTTAAAAGGGAATAGGTAATTAAGTAGAGCGCATGCTCTACTACTCAATATAAAAATAAAAAATAAAAATAAAAGAACAAAAAAAGCCTTGTAAATTCAATATATGAAGATGACATTGATTCATTTGAATGGAAATATAAAGAAGAAAATATACATGTATATATATATAAATCTGAAGAAGGAAAAAGAAGAGAATTTTTGTGTAAATACCTAGGATTTGGGCTATTCTTGATGGACTTCTGGCCATACTTCCTCCATTTATATCCATCATCGGCCATCCCATTTCCACAGCTCTTTATCTTCAGTGTATACTTATTATCAATCTTACTTAGTCCCCTCTCCAATATAGAAATCCTGACAAAAAATGATAATCATATATAAATATCCATTAATTTCACACAAAACCCAAATCCAAAAATTCAAAGTTGAACACACAAAATATATATACACAAATTAAACATGTACACACCTAGGAGGTGAAATCTCTTGGGGTTGGATTTTTCTTGACGTAAACGACAAGGCACTTTCAATATCTTCAATTGTTGGCCCTGAATAAACGTTGGGGTTAAGCCTGTAAATATCACCAATATTTATACTATTGTTATTACCACCTTCTTCATTTCGAGTAGTAGCACTATAACTCGTGATCTTGTGTTCTGTTGATGAATCCTGTTGCATCAAAAAGAAAGGTGACACGTCATCTAAGAGCTCTCTCACAAGCTCTTCTTCTTCAAAGCCATCGGATGACCAAGTTTCCAATATTGCTTCTTTCTCCATTAGACGATTTTGATAATTAAGAACCACAAAACTAGTTTTTGTGCATTAGGAGAGAGAAAGAGATAAGAAGATAGAAAATTTTTGTGTAATATTATGTGCTTAGTGGAAGAAGAACTAGGGCTAGCGAGAGAATGTGATTTTAAGTAGTGATGATGATGATAATGATAAGAAGAGAATAATTGGGTTTTTTGTTTTTTTTTGGGTATGAAATACAAAGGAGAGGGAGAGAGTGGAGCAGATGGAGAGGAGAGAGGAAGTTGTCACCTCTACGTGTTTGCCTCTTGACTTTTAAAGTAAGAGGAGTAAGAGGGTGATGGTTTTATGTTTTGGATGTATTTGGCTTTGACTTTTGCCAAGAGTTCTTCTATGCTTTGCCGAATGGTAATTTTTGGCTATCTGTGGAAATGGGTACCACCTCATATCACTTATCTTTAATGGGTTTTTGCCCTTTTGCAATATTCCAAAGTGATGATGTAAATATTTCTATATGAGTATTGATAATTAGTGCAAATTAGGGGGCTATGCATGATTACATTCAAAAAAAAAAAAAAGAGAATTACTGAAAGAATGTATAAATCCTTATTTTTACCTCTTATTTTTAATTAATACATTTTTAACTAATATAATTAGTTAATTAAAAAATATTAATAAAAAATAAATGGGTAAAAATTTAAACTTACGCAGGTATTTGTCTATTTTCTTCTTAAAAAAATATATGAGGCTAAGGGGGTGCTATATTATGTTATGTGATGTCGCTTTTTTCCTTTTTCTTTTTTTTTTTTTTTTTGAATGGTTTTTTGATACTTTTTTTTCCTTTTTTTTTTTTTTTTTTTTTTTGAATGGTTTTTTGATACTTTTTTTTCCTTTTTTTTTTTTTTTTTTTTTTTGAATGGTATTATGATACTTCTTTTTCCTTCTCTTTTTTTTTACTTTTGTTGCTTCCTCTATTGTTCCCTATGCGCGTGTGTTTTTGTCTTGTTATATTGTTTTGAATTTTGATGGAATAGATGCGTTAAGTTGGACCAAAGCTACCTGACCCATGACCCCATTTCCAACAAAAGCATGCAAGAGTCAACCACTAAAGAATCCATAAAAAAAAAAAAAAAAAAAAAAAAAGGTACCTATTCAATATCCTAAAGGAGTGTAACTAATTATTGTTCTTTTTACATTCTTTAATTTTATGCAGTTGAACCCTTGCATTATTGACTGGATAAGCACAGTATATATTTATTAATTTATGATCTACGTTACAAACAAAACGACCCCCAATGCTTTTAGTACCTAAATAGAAAGATATGACAAAAAGTAAGGTGCAAATCGAAAATAAAAATAAATTACTAGCCTTCACTGGGTTTTGGGGAAAGGGTTGTTCCTAATCGATCTAAATCAATTTGTATAGGGCTTTTCTATTAAAGGACCATATACGAAAATATTGCAAGTTTTTAAGGTTCTCCTTCTCTCCTTTCTTATTTTCTTTCCCCTTTTTTTCCCAGTAATCGTATTAAAAAACATATTTTTGAAACAAATTTTAAATATAAATATATTTTTGAAACAATTGAAATAAATAACATACTTATTTACCTGGCAAATATGTAGTGGTAAATTTTTGGTGTAAATATTGTTTATACGCTTATTAAAAAATTATTTTCCAATAAATATTAGTTACTTCAATCGTGTTATTTACCTAAAAACCGTTTGAACAATATTGTTATTTGTCTTTTTATCTTTTTCTTTCTTTCTTTCTTTTTCTGATTAAAATGAAAATCACGTTTCTCTTATTACCTGAAGCAAGTGAAAGATTTTCAGGAAAAAAAAAAAGCATGTAAAAGTATATTCATTTAATCACGTTAGACATACTTATTTTAATGAGGTTGTGTTCAACTTTTGAACATAAAAAAGGAAAAAGGAACTTTTGGTGGGCATATGATTGGAGCAGGACTGGATTGGAGTGACGTGCTGGCACGTGGGATTAATTAGATTAATAAGTACTCCCTTTTGATTATCAAATTTTGATATAAATAATAAATAGGCATATTCAAAATCCTTTTAAGCTTTTTAACAATCTATTTGGAACGTATTCGGGTTTAAGTCTAACATTAAAAAGGAAAAACAATAACAGGCTTGAAATCTATTAAAAAAAGGGAAAAATCCCTAAAAAATATATATATGAACCAAAGTTATTCGACTCGTGAGGGATTGCAGATTTGACAATGCCATGGTGAAACGGGACTCCAAGAAAATTATTGTAGCTTTTAGCCTCACTATTCACTAAAAAAAATAAAAATAATAGAAAATAAATTATCCAAGGCATGACCTCTTATAATGCTCACATATGACAAAGTTGCCTTCAATACTTATATATTTTGATATATATATATATATATATATTGAACTTAGAGGTGCGCAACTTTGATCTTAGAATTTAACATTATGGTACTTAGGTGTAGAATTATCATTTACACTTATTTTAAACGATTTACAATTCAATATTAAGGGGATGTTTGGTTGGAGGATTTAAACCAGGATTTAAATCATGATTCATGGTTCGCTACAGTATTTTCTCTCACGAAAAATACACGTAAATCAAAAATAGTTCTAATCACATGATTCTAATTCATGAACCAAACGTCTTCTAAATGATTACGAGCCTGTTTGGATTGGTTTAGAAAAGTTATTTTTAACTTATTTAGTCTAAAAGTTATTTTTAAGACTATTTACATGGATAACATAAAGTGTTTTTTTATTTTTATAGCTCTTTTGAAACAAGCCACTTCTTAGATGCTTATGAAAAAAGAGCCTATAAAAAGCTTTTAATTTACATTTTTAACCATTTATTTGTAAATAACAAATTAAAAATTCTATTTATATCTTTGTTTTACATTACTTTTTATAATAATAAGACTATTTTTGTCTAATTTACCAAGCACGTTCAAAGACTCTTCTAAAATAAAAAAGTTATTTTTCACGACTATCTAAATATTAATTAAAAAGTTGTGGCCCGTGCTTCTCTTCCTCTATTGCTTAAAAGTAAAAGTACAAGTTATTTCAAACGGCCTAAGATTTTATATTGAAGCAAGATATTGATCACGGTATAAAAATAAGCTTAATTTCTGCTTATTTACTCATTCAACTAATTGAATTACTAATAAGGAAATTTTTTTTATTTTTTATTTTCTTGCTAGTCGGAAGTTATTGTAAATTAATATAATGTAAATGGAAACTGGTTAACGTTGATTAAACAACAACGTCATCAAGAACAAGAGAAATGACGCCTTCCAAAAGGGGGAAAAAAAGAAGAAGAGAGAAATGATACAATCTGGTTCGAGCCAACACAAATCCTAATCTTTTCTTTAGTTTTTTGAAAAGCAATATTACAAATCCTAACTTAAAATAAAGCAAATCTCGCTATTTTGTCGAGAACCTTATTTTCTAATTGAAAAATACATAATTACAAATACAACCAACCCTTAGCAATGCAAACAAGTTATATATATATATATATATAAATATATATAATCTGTACCTCCACTGCAAATTAATTCCCGAAATTCCAGATCGCAAAGATATTTAGCAATATTGAGTAATTATTCCTATAAATTAAATTTTCAATCCTAAAATCCAAGAGGAAGCCTAATTTAAGTAGGCTCTTCATGGCCAGCATAGAAGATAGCATATTTGTGTAAGCATAAGAGATAAAGCAATAAAAGCCTCAGAAACTATAATTTGCTGATCACTTGAGGAAGTTATAATAATAATGGCATTCATGCTGTTTATGGTATCACTTCCGGCAAAGAAATTGATCAAATTCACAGAAATGTTCCTTTCAATAAATAAATAAATTAAATTAAAGGCGAAAGAGCAACATAAATAGTCGAATTATAAACTATCCATGTAATAATAAACACCTCAAAGGTGTTGTTATTTTTCCCAATTTCATACGTTTCAAAAACTTAGATAATCACAATTTATGAAATTTCCCACTTTCATATATACTTTCCAACCTATAGAACCACTTATAATTATAATTGAAGTAATTGAGGTGGTAACACAAAAAAGGGTTAGTGCATACGTCTTCTAATTTCGGATTGATATCCAATGATCTAATCCTATTATACACCAACTCTATTAAATGTGCAAAGAGGAAAAAAAAAAATCCTCTCCCACCAAACAATTAAAATGACCTTATAATGCAAAAAAAAAAAAAAAAAAAAAAAAAAAAAAAAAAAAAAAAAACTTTTTAGCCACATTAAATATATTTAACTTGAACTTGAACTTATTTGTTGAAATATTGGTGCGATTTCTTGGTGTGTAATTTAAAGTTGCATTTATCAATAATGCAAGATTATCTTAGAAATTAAAAAGGAATGACTACCTGATATTTTTGTTAAAAATAATAACCTTAAAGATATTGAAAATAGAACAACTAGCTTTAAAATCTGGGATTCTATTAGGAAAAAGAAAAAAATCTCATTAATAACAGGATAAGGCGGGGAGAAGCAGGGATTCCCCAACATGGTAACATTTGACAGAGTTTAAAGGATATTATGCCTAACTCACCTTCGTAAAACCGGCTTGTTAGGGGAAGATTTCTCTCGTCTTATTAAGTAAATCATGTTAATATTTTTGTGAGATTATAATATAATAAGACATCCATCCCATTCTTGTTAGCCTTAGACGGTTTATGGGGCAAGAATTGTATTATAGGAGGTTGGCTTGGGATGATATTAGGAAAAAAAAAAAAAAAAAAAGAAGATCCATTTTCAGCTCGTTTACATCTTTATCCCTCATGAATTATAATTTTTTTTTTTTTTTTTTTTTTTTTTTTTTTTTTTTTTTTTTTAGTTTAGGCAGCTTCGGAATTAGGAGGGGACACGGCACATACCCCCACTCAATTTTTATAATTTTTAACTTAGTCTATAAGTTTATTTAGGTTTCTAATATGCTCCTTCACTAAAATGCTTGGATTCAAATGTGCCTTTTTTATAATTTTTTTCTTCAATCTATCCCATTAACATTTAAGTTATCCAACTACTTTTACTTAAACTTCTAGTCCTCAAATTTTTTTCCTGAATAACC